GGTTCAGAGTTCAGTGCCTTGAACAGCAAAAGGTCATCAACGTCCGCAAGGCAGCTCTTCAAACAGACACCCTGCAGAGCTTAACAACTCATCTGCACAGGACACAGCCGGCGGCCCCAGCTGTCAAACATTCGAGCTGATCACCTGGTGTAATAAACTCTCTTACGCCATGCAGATGAGGTTCTACACTCTGCAAGTTACCTGAACACAGAACCAACCCAAAGCCTTCATTTTAGGGATATCCCTCCAGAAGTCACAGAAACGGCCAAAGGACAAAATTAACCACAGAAACACAGAATCTTTACAGTTTCATTAGTCTCAAAATCTTGCATACAACAGCAGCCTGTAGAAAGCGTGCTGGTGGGGAAGGCAGCAAGGTTACCGCGCTGAGTAGAGCAGCTGAACGCCACTGCTAAGGGAAAGCCCGTGCAGGTGTGTCACAGGCCACGTAAGGACAGCAGAACACCCCATCTCAACCCTCGGCCTTCCAGTAACTACATGCAGCCAAACCCACCCAGAGGCAGCTCGCAGTCATTCAGACTGGACTAGAAACTGTACCTGAAGCTTTTCTTTACTGTAACTCACCCTCTTCGTGGATTCACACACGTTTTTTCCTTTTTTAATACTCAGTGAAGGTGTATCTTTGCCAAATACAGAGCCCTAAAGTGACCTTTTCCAACTGCACTGCTTTCTGTGTAAAGCAAACACCAGGAATGGATCAGGCCTTCCATGTGCTCTCATGGAGTGAAAACAAAGCAATAAAGGACTAAGTCCTGGTTACGGTCTGGTCCGCACCACTCCAGTTTACTGGAAGGAACTACCAGGCCCACATTTCACCCCGAGTTTGCGCACTGGTAGGATTTCAGCCTGGCTTCTCGGGCTCCCTGACAGGACACACGTTAGTGTGACTCTCCCCAGGCCCCACGTCAGGACGGCTGCCAACTCCCTGTGCAGAAGAGGCCGCCGCAGCCAGCTCCAACGGTGGGAAGTGTGAACCGCTTGGCTGCTTCTGTCCAGCACAGATTTAACATGGAAAATATCAGCAGAAATGGATTCTAGGGTTTAAGATTAGGAAATACTAATTCCTTTGCATTTCAACGTCCTGTTTAGTTTCACCTTGACCTACACTGAATGTTTCTTCTTGGCGATTTCAGATCAGATACTCCGACCAGTCTGTCATGTGGCCACAGGAGCCTGAAAACCCTTGTGCCAGAAGCGGTGTCAGGCAACCAGGGAAACAGATTCCGGCAGGAGCATCAGCCCTCACCTACTAGAAGCGACCGAGCAAACATGATTTATGCTTTCTTGAGGCTGTTGGAGTTACCCTACATAAAACCTAAACAAAAGCTGAATTGAGTCCTCAGGATTTGGATCTGGAACACCCAAATAGCTGCAAACTTGTCGATACAAATTAATCAGAGACACCTTATACTTTGAGAGGGAACAGAAGACTACAAACTTCAGCCCAAAACTCCAGTAGCGAGGAAGACTACTTGCTTCAACACGTTCTTAGATACTGCCTTTGCCTGGCCACACACGGATTAAATACTCACAACAGACAGCTGACTCCACGTTGACCTCAGGGGCTTATAGTGAAAAACCACCTTTTCGTCCGATTTCTGCTCGTGGGGCTCAGACTCTTCATCAGAATCAATGTCCAGAGCTTTTTCCTTATAGTTCTGATATAATACAGCGTTCTCTAGAAAACAACAACCACAAGTCACGAATTGCTAGAAAGTTAGCTTAGTTGCTTTCCCAAAAACTGCAAGTACCATTTAAACAACGAAAGAAACCAAAGTGCCGATGTGCCGTTCACCATCTCCGGCGGGCAAAGACAGTGTCCTATTTAGGATGGACAATGGCGCGGTACAGTAACAATGGATCACTGTACCGCCCCAAAAAGATCCACGCTGACTGAATTAAAGAACAGATGTGTCCTTTGTCAGGAAAAAACAGAAAACAATTTCTTCTTCCTCGGTTTGCTGTACAATGCTTCATCATTAGCCAGCAATCTGAGAGCGGAACAAGCGTCTCAGTAGAGCAGTCACTAATCTGGAGGTCTGGCTATTTTAATCTGCAAAACCACTGTAAATCCCCTACCCGTGCCAACTTCTCCTCTGTCAGCTTTAAATACCATCTTCACACTTCACCGGGAGAAGGAATGATCCAAATTTCAGAAATCTGAGGTCAGAACTATTCCACACAGACTTCAAAGCTTGTTTGAATAAGCATGAGGCCTGTGAACCTTAAAGCAAATACCCTCATTATGAATTTCCTTGCTGTCAACAGCCAAGGCACACAGGTGTGGAGCACACCCTTTCCTTTTCCCAGCCTCCCTGACCACACACCCTTTCCAAAAGCAGAGAGAAAGGGGCAGGGAAGTTCAAGGCCAGAATAACCTACAGACAGATTAAGCTGTTAAAGTGAGTGCTAAAAGATACTTTAGAGATGGGCCAGGCTGTGGACAAAACCCATTTTCCCATAGCAGAGAAGGGGCAATAAGGGAAAGGTGTGGCTGCGGCAGGCACGGCTGCGACTCCGGAGGTCTTAGGCCAGGCTGGGTGGATCCGTTCCGCCTGCTCGGACCATACAGCCCTGGCTGAGCATTATACACGGTTTGGCCGTTTGTATTTGCTCTTTGGAACGTGTCTCTGCAGCTCCCACTCTTGAGACAGGAAATTGCGTCCAGTAACTGAATTCTGAAAGGCGTTACGGGGAAGGTTGTTAGTTGGGATCAGTCCAAGGTAAAAGGGAGCCACTGGAAGAGAAGCTAGAAAGCGTCATTAGGAGACGGGGTGAGAAAAGATGAAAGTGAAAGTAGGATGGGGTGATGCATGTGGAACAAAAAGGAAAGCTCTGAAAACAGAAACGAGGAAAAGGAAGGTAAGCACAGCCAGGATGACCATGAGCAGGCACCGCACAGAGGAGAGCCAAGAGAGTAGCAGTTATTATGACACTCCCACAGACCTGTAGCCAGGAAACTATTTTTTTTCTTGTTGAAATACTGGGAAAAGCAGCAATGTTGACAAAGCCCAGAATTAATGCTGAACATAACAGAGCAGATGCACGGCCAGTGTTTCTCTGACACCCACCCTTGAAGCCTGGGTAGCAGGAAAAGCATTACAAAGCCGAGGGGTTTACCCCAGCACCCTTAGGAGGAAGAGGCAGAAACAGCTGCATGAAGCATGGAGTGGGGGAACTACAATTCAGGCACCTGCTGCAAGTGATGGCCCCACACCCCTGAGGGGATGCAGAAAGCTACAGCACCTGAGAAGAGTCACCAGAAGAGGCAGGAAGGCAGTGCCAGCTGGAGGACAGGCCTCTCTCAGGTAATTCCACAGGCCTGTTCCAGCTGTGACAGCCACCAGCTCACCTTGTGGGAGGGACAGGAGGTTAAGCTGAAAAGAAACACTTAGAGCAAAACCCCGCTCTTAGCCTGCCGTTCTCCGTTCTCTACAATCCTCCCTAAAGTTAGTGCAGTGCCGCAGTCACGGATCCATGGCTCAGGTTACTGACACACACGGTCCCTGGTCTCTGACTACACACGAGAGGTGTGCACAGCGGGCCGCAAGGTCATGTCTCTTGTGACAGCGTGTGAGAAAAGGGCTTACCTTCCCCATCAAACGTCCCTTGTCCTTTCAGCATTTTCTTCTGGTAATTGTAACAGGAAAGAGACAGATACACATTAAAAGAAGAATGCAAAATAACCAGCAGTGACAAGAACTTCTCTCTTACTTGATACACCCAATTAACAGGCCCTAACCTATGAACTTCTCACGCTGGACAAGCATGCATGAAAGCAGTTGCTTCCTCACAGAAAGTGAAAAGCTACTCTGGTTTTCCATCTCTCCTACGCTGTTGATCCATGTGTCCCAAATGCTCGTTTCCCGTGTGTTCCCAAAGGGCAGTACGCTAGCTTCCCCTGTTTGGTGAACACTGGGCGTCCCGAGGGTAGAAGGTACAGGACCGAGCGGCTGCCTCCTTCCACTCACTCTGCAAACAGCCACCACGTGAAGCATTTTGCAAACTAACGTTTTGGGAGCAAAACAAACCTCTGAAATAAACCAGCTGTTGGAGCATGAAGAGCCATATGGCCCAAGAAATCTATTTAAAAAATGCTACAGGCAAAGAGTTTTCTGTGCAAAGACGGGACAACGCCGTGTCCTATTTTAAACACAATGTACTGTTAAAGCCCACTGCCACCCCACTGCCCCACTCAGCAGTTCACGGCTTCACCTACTCCTGTCTCCCTGCTTGTGGCGCTTTCCCAAACACTTCCATAACCCCAACTTTTAACTGGGCTGAAAGTTGTCACGAAGCTGCTAATTATTTTGGTGGCTACAGCATGAGCCCTTAGCCTGGAGTACTTTGTTACACAATTCCTAACACTCCGCAGAGAGCTACCCCTGTACTGCTTAAAAAGTAACAAGTCACATTTCAAACGAAGGAAATACGATGCATTCAAGTATCACTGATATATTCAAGTAAAAAAATGTTTCCAGTAATGTAATTTTAGCACACTCCGTATAAACCTGCTACTCCTAAAGGATTACTTCGAGAGTTAAAAACGCCATTCTGCTTTTACTCGCAG